TCAACTGGATGGATGCCCTTATGTGCATGCCACGGTGAGTATTTTTTGTTTTTTTTGTTAGTTTTTTGTTGGTTTTTTTGATGATTCCACTGCCCAACAAACCGGACCAGACCGTTGTTTATTCTGTATGAAATGGCAGCTCTTGAATCTCTTAAATTGAGATCTTCATTTCAAATGCTTACAAGCCTATTGAGCTGTAAATGGATCTCATCGCTGAACAAAATTTGGCTCGAAAACATCGGATCTTCGTGGAACTTTTCAAGAGCCCATAGTACAAAACGATGTCTCTTGAGAAGGTGGGGTGGTTTCAGTTCTTGCACAAGTTGTATTTTGTACGCTTTCAAACGCGCTTTAAAAGATTAAATGCGCCAAGCCGTTTCATACGTTAGTCCGAGTTGCTGCGAACGGCGCCGAATTGTTTGGCAGATCCCTGCTTCGAAGACCTTTACGGCGTGCTAGGCAAGGTAAAACGTTTGCTATATGGTGCGGATGACTTTGCAAGATTTTTTTTTCATTGTAATCACTGTATTTTATGGATACTAGTTGCGCAGTTGCGCAGCGCCTTAAGTGTATTCCGCTTAGTAGGATTTTCTGAACCAAGTATAAACCTGTATTTCCGACCAGGAAACGATTTGAAATGAGAGGTAAGTAGCCTATGTAAGGTTGTTGTTGTTATAACCATGAACATATCCTTCAAAGTATTTTTTGGGGAATGTTGCGGGAATATAACTCATCAACCAGATAAATAAATACGGGTCGTTCCGGTATAAAGACCCGATTGTCGCGGGAGCTATTGGATTTTAGTAGTTTAACCGAAGGGGGGGATGATGCCGAGGCATTTAACTTCGCTTGCTTGCGAGATCGTTACGTTGTTTAGGGTGAATTTCACACATAATTTGACGTTAATTTCCCTATATTATTCTTCACGTTTCTCTTTAGTTTTCTTTCTACTGACTTCAACAACAATTTTGTGGCAGGAGTGCCATTCGCTTGCCTTTCTCTCCGCAAGCGACGCTTTTGTACTATTAATTTTTTTTACATCAAGGTTTGCCACAGTTTTAGACTCATAATAATACTCTCCAACTTATTAAACTACTAGGTTCATGTTAATATGACCAATAAGAAATTTGTGAAGTTTTGGCAGTTCGTTTCTTTGCTTGTTATTCATGGCTCTGGGTCAACTATCTTCGGTTAATTGTAAATTTTTATTAAGACTAGTGAATGGTCACAGCATAAGTCAGCAGCAGGCAGCACAGATAATAAAAGTTATCGGTCGATTATTCTTGAAACAGCAAAGTCGGACGTTTTCCGGTAAGCAACCCTTGTATAATTTTTTATTTTCATCTCTGAGCTAAATCCTTTTTAGCACCTTCTCAATAACTCACTTTTTTCTACTAATATATATAAATTTCTTATATTATGGTTTTCCATTATGCACTAGTGGTAATAAACAAAAACTGAAGGTTGTCAGCCTAAAAATATGCTTTGTTAAAGTCATGTGAAAAATGTTTAAAGCTTTTCTATATCCGCTTCCGCGTTATAAGCTTAATATGTTTGTGACAAAACACAAAAATTTTTAGAATTCGCTGCAGAAAGCGATGCCTTTATAAACCGCTCTTACAAGTTTGTAAAATTAAAACAAATCTTTAGCTGGTGCCACAAAGTTTGAGAGTTTTTCGCACAAAAATATAATGTAAATTATCGAATTTCTGAAAAATATTGTTTTATCCGTTAATATAAATATATTTTCCTACTTCGAAATAATCTACTCGGTAATAATTTATTTACGTCAGCATTTTTTCTTATCTTCCTCGCAGTTTTGATTTACACCGTTTGGTATACGCCTGAGCTTTTCCAGAGATTTGATATTAACTTTTGTAGGTTGCTTCATATTTCGGAAAAATATTATGATTTTGGTGGCTAAGGCTTGATTGGTTATTTTCGTGGTCTAAAAATAAATTACAAAAAAAATTACATTAAACATCGAAAGTCCTTTCACAAAAAAAAATAAAAAATAAAAAATAAAGAAAAAATAACGATAATCAAATACATATATACTTATAACGCCAGGGAAATACTTGTAAAAAAATTTGGAAAAATTATGGGCTCGATAATTTCCCTACATAAATCACTTCCTGCCACTGATTGTTTCCATGTTTGCACCACTACAACTTTTCTCCTTGACGAATCTCAGCATTTCCATCATCTCCTTCATTGCATAAAGACTTTCCACCTCCATGTTCTTCCTTCCGCTAACAAACCTTCGGAGTTTTCATCCTTTCGAAGTGGTCTCCTGGGTTTTCGCCATAGTCCAAATAAGCCTGCCATTCAATATTACAAGCAAAACATTGCAGTCTCTCGTTGGGCTTCTGGTTACAACTTTCCAGTTCCATCTGGCAAAATTACCTTTGCTGTTCGTTACAACAGCGACCCGCATTAATGCCTCATAATTAAGTCTCTCCTTTTCCGGAACTATTTGCAAAATCTCCAACTCTACGAATCGGGAATCAGTTTTATCTCTCTTACTACAGTTGACTACCTCAATGAAGACGTCATATCGAATTATAGCTTAAAGACCAGTAAAGAAGTTGTGCCGCACAAGGGTGGTATTTTTACCTTTGGAAAGTTCATAGAGCTGATTGCACAGATCAACTACAACTCTTCTGTCTCTTATCGAAGTCTGCGCAGTCTTTGGTTAATTTCTGTTTAAGCTAAATGAGCTGCGCTGAAATACATACTTCCTGATCATACAGTTGGGAAAAAATGTTGACATTCTGACATTCATGCCCACACCAGAAGACGAGCCCGTAGCCTGTACATACAAACTTACTCGTATGAACTGTTGAACCGTTGTGCGAACGTAAAGCATTTTATATGATCTGAATATTTCAGCGTCTTAATTATTTTGCTTCCAAAATTATGTGCCTCAGACCATTTGGTTTTGTCATCGCCGAAGGTGCCATTGGTCCACAGATAGCTCAGAGTGTCTTTACTTTTTGAAACTGATTTTTGTAACTTTTTTTTCTTATATTTTATATGCATCGCATACTGAAAACTCACCGATAGTTTCAATGCTCATTTCGTTTGCTTTATTTTTCTTTATGATTTTTTTATACTTGAAGTTTGATAGCTGAAATGCTCTTGCCGATCATCTTGACTGGCTCAGCAACTTTACTTTTCTCATCGCTTTTGGTACTGAACTCCGTTTCGCAATATGCAAAACTGAGCATAATTCGGATCCTGAGTATCAGCGCATTTGGAAAAACATAAATTACCATCAAATTTCACACTTTGCAGCTAGGGTGATCTTCTTATGTTCGCCATTTCTTTTCGCGATCAGTTTGGACAGTTTTGACCGTCAAAGTGCATTGTATCATCGCTCCTTATCACTTCTTATAACTTGGATTCTTTTGTAACTATAATAAGTTTCTCACACTTGATATCTAAGATAAATCAGAGTATTGTTCGGTCCACAATAACGAAGTCCCATGAAGTATGAAAGAAAGATCCTTTCTCCTCCAGACCATTTGCATCTCGTTCCACAGAGCAATTGCCTATCAGAAACTATACTCCTCATGAGATGTTATTCCTTCTAACAGAGCACATTTTCCCGTGGGCTATTCTAATCCAATTAAAGCCAAATTTGCCTGGGTTTGCTGCAGGCTCATGCTTCGAGCGTTAAATTGCTTTGAGACTTCATTTAAATATTATAACTGCGTAAAATATCGGGAGGTATAAGAAGATACAAGGAGTCGCTTGCTCCATTACCACTCGTAACCGCACTTCCAGTGAACAGACGTTGAAATTCAATTGGATCCCGAATCCGAAAAACTCTACTTTTTAGAGACTGGATAAGAAGGCGGGGCGTATGGGTTTGGTGTTGAGGACAACACCAAATCATAAATTTCATGTCACCGCTGCTAGTAATATCAATGAAGTAGCGATGTTGTGGACGATTTTATTCATCTCGGAACCAGCATAAATGCCTATAACAAGGTTCGTCCTGGTATCCAATGCAGACTCCCTATTGCTTCGGTCATAACTTCGTGGTCGTAGATTATTTCGTCTATTAAGGGGCCAGCGTTAACACCAAAAGTAAGGCCTTGAAATCCGGCACAGATTTACTCTTACCGGCAGGTGCTAATGTGTACTGAGTAGGCAAATAGAAGGTAAAGTATACTCTCGACGAACAAAAACCAAACTCTGCAAGTCCCTGATCATATCCGTCCTACTATATGGTATATAAGCGTGAGCGATGTCGACTTCAGATAAGTTGGCTCTAAGGAGTCTTTGAGAGAAAAGAATTGCAAATGATTTATGGTCCCTTGCGCATTGACAACGGCGAATATCGCAGACTATAGAACGATATAGTTCAGCTAACGCAGAGACAGCGGCTACAGGTCATATCGTTAGAATCAAAGAAAACACTCCAGCTTGGATCCCGCCGATGGAAGCAGATTAAGAGAAAAACCAACACTCCGTTGGAAAGATCAGATCTAGAGTGACCTGGCTTCACTTAGTATTTCCAACTGGCGCCAGACAGCAAAGAGAAGAGAGAAGTGGCGCGCTAATAATTGATTCGGCTATAATCGCGTAAGCGGTGCCAACACCAATAAAAAAGAAGAAAAAGATAATTGAAAAACAAAGTTTCCTCTGAGCGTACAAAGGCCCGAACCCTACAAGTTGTTCATCATAGTGCAGAAGAGTCGGCTTTGTGAGTAATCGGAAGAAAGGTTTAGCGAGAGTTATGGTTTTATGAGATATACGACGATAGCGGCCGTATGTATGAAAATACTTCAGCCCTGTTAGTATAAGATGCAGTGCTTGCTGGGGTATGTAAAGGAAGAGGAAAACTTCCTCTGCGTTTAAAGGATGAGGTGACTGTCACTTTGTTTCTCCAATTGAAGGCAAAGATCGGTTCGACAGTTTTTCAACGGTCAATACTACAATTCCAGGTATTCATAACAACAGCGTGTTTAAAAACAAAAAAAATTGTGTTTCGGTTTATTTCATTCAAAAAATTATTACAAACTATTTATGTATGTGTAAATGGCATATGTGTGAATGAACGACACGACATGTGATGCGCGCATGATTCATAAAGAAATGAAAAATCTTCACAGTTTAGATAGAAAATGTGTGAGAAGTCAGTGAAAATAAACTAATTTTCCAACGATTTTCTAAAAATCTTTAACTTTACAAACGATCTTGTCCCTTTGCTTTACTTCTTCTTGATTGGCAAGTATTTGTTGTTTGGCGCTTCATAATTGACAGCCGACTGGAAGTTCTGTTGCACGAAAGATGTGTGCTGATGGCCAAAACCACCACTGCCACCACCACCACCTAAGTTCAGAGATCCACCAGAACCAACCGAGGTTAGAGGAGCAACACCCTCATCGGAGATGTGTGTGGAACCACCCAAAGCATCGTATTGAGCTTGAATTTCCTGCTGGGCACGTTGAGCCTCCTCTTGAGTCTTGTACTTTATGAAGTATACTTCGGGTTTGTGTGATTTCTGTTGACCCTGAGCCTGTGCCAGCTGTTGTTGTACCTCAGTCAAGTCGGGTTTCTTAGACAACACATAGATGACGGTCTTCTCTTCATTGGCATTTTGTGCATGTTTCAATGCAGCGCCAGCCAATCGGATGTTGTGTTGTGGCGCCTTAATGAAGACAATACGATAATTCTTACGAATTGGTGCATTATCCAATTGTTGACCCAACAGTGTCTCTTCTTGATCTTCGGGAGCGGAATGTATGTAAATATCCTTGGTAATGATGGCGGTTTGTTGACGTGGCTGTTGGAAGGACTGGAAGTTCTGTTGGAAGCCGCCGCCTTGACCGCCTTGACCGCCTGCGGGGAAATTCAAGCCTGAGCCACCGAATTGTTGTTGTTGTTGCTGCTGAATCGGCAGGCTGAGCTGTGCGGCGCCAAATTGAGCACCAAACTGTTGTTGCTGCTGACCTTGCGAGAATGATTGCACAGCACCACCCTGTGTTGGAGGCAAGTAACCGGGTGGGGCTGGCAATTGTGGAGGTAGCTGCGGTGGTAGCGTCTGTGGTGGTGCTTGCGGTGCAGGTAGTGGAATCTCTGCTGGTGGTGGTTGCAATGGTATTGAGGGCGATGGATTGAATGTCTGCAGCGGTGGCGACTGTACTGGCGAGTAGATGCTGCTTGGTAGTTGTGGCACGATTGGTGCTGGGTTAGGAGCTGGATGGCTGTGATGGTGAATATGATGATGATTAGCAGGCGGCGCGATAGGCGCTTGTGGTCCCGAATAGCGGTAGCCGGATTGGGCGGCTGTCAAACCCAAAATGGTGAAAAACTGTGGAGAGGAGATTGTAAATGGTTGAGAATATCAATTTGTGTTGTTGGAAACATTGTGGAAAATTAAACCAACTCACCAATGCAACACTAATTGCCTTCATATTTCCTTAATTTCCGTTAACTTCTTGTGCCGTGATCTTCCACACTTTCTCTGACTAGTTCAAATCGCTGACTGATGTCTAACCCTGAACCAATCAGCGCTTTTATAGGCGACATACGAAAAAATGGTTGACCAAAAATCTTTCTCAGCAAAACTAAATCAATTCCCATCGAAATTAATTCAACAAATTTGTAGCGTCTAAATATCCGTTATTGGCGCGGTGAGCATGCGTATGCGCCGTTACCACAGTCAACACCACCACCACCGCCAGCATTGCCCACAACCGTGTGACCTTTGCTTGTAAAATTAAAATAAAAAAATAAAAAACAAATAAAAATCGTCACATAACTGCGATTAGCACATCGCTTCGCTCGCGGAATTAAGTGTCTCTGGCTCATATTTGATTTTAAAATGCATCCTACTTAGCATAAGGTCGAACCGCTGTATCAATTTAATCGATTATCTAACAAACAATCCAAACCGGCATCCGCATAATACGCGCTCCATTAATAGCGCTGGGACGCCGCGCCTTCGCACCCTGCAACTGTAAAATTGTAAGCGACGAAATAAACGGAACAAGTTTTGGCTATTTTATACCCCTCATGTACGCCAAATTGTTTATCAACTCTTGTCCGAAGTATGTTGGTGTCCGACGGCGAAAACACGGACCCATCAAACTTTATACCGATCGGGTCAGAATGACGAGTCGAGCCATGGCTGTGTGTCCATCTGCAAAGTCTACTTGTCCAGCCCTCCAGTTTTTGAGGTATTTCAACCATAAAAGTACTGGACTGATTTGTTGAAATCCTTCAGATCAGATCTCTATAACATAGAAACGGTGATCCAATTCCAGGTTCCCTACTTTTTTATGAAAAAAACAACAGAAAACTCAAATTCAGTGGGGAATATTTAATAGCGTTGGAAAGAGCATTCCTCGACATTTGCTTTTTGAAGATTATCTATTTCAAATGCTGACTATCTCTCAGATGTCCATCCGTTGAGTCCAATTTTCGATGACTCGTTTAAGGATTTCGATTGTCAACTGGCGAATTACGCGCGTTTTGCTCCAAGGCTTGAACCAAAGCGGGCTTATCCGCATAGACTTTGGACTTCACATATTCCCACAGTGAAAAGGTGTGATATCAACCGATCTTGGTGGCTAATCAACTGGCTCAAAACGTGAAATTATGTGCTCACCTAAGTGTGCTCTCAATAAATCTATTGAATGATCCAATATGTGAAAAGTGGCACCGTCTTGCTGAAACCAAGGGCCGCCGAGATCATTTCAGGCATGAGGTTATAATAGCGCGATAACGGTTACTTTTGGTGGTTACGTTTTCACCAGCATCATTTTAGAAAAAAGTAGACCGATGATTCCACTGCCTCTCAAACATCACCACACTGTTGCTATATCTGGAGGAAATGTCAGCTCTTGATTCTCTTCAGGTTGCCCTTCATCCCAAACGCGGCAAATTTTGCTTGTTTTCAAACCCATTCAACCAGAAATGGGTCTCGTCGCTGAACAAAATTTGGAGCAAAAACGTCGGATGCTCTTGGAACTTTTTCAATTTAAGATCCCGATACATAATCCGCCTATTCGTTCCATACTACGTCAGTCCGAGTTGCTGCGAACGGCGCCGAATTGACTCTACACGTTCTTCGTGTAAACTCTCATACGTGTTCTATTCGGTCGAATATTATTCAATAATTAATGCCTCACGGCGGGTGAAGGTGTTGCGAGTAGTACGCTCGGGGGCCGATTATGTTGACCATAAGTTGAGGCGTAAGTCCTCCATTATGAAATGCCAAATAATTCTGAGCAAAAACCACATTACAGCTTGATACGACTCATGCGTTATCTACTTGAATCACCCGTTATATGACCGATGTTTAGAATTGAAAATTGTTGGTCACAAATCCAACAAAAAGACAGCTGAGAGCATGAAATTGGGTATATACATACATAAATATAATGAACTACCCAATGGTACTGAAAATGAACGAAATTGTGGAATCATAAAATAAACCTATATATATCTTATACCCGGATTTATTCAGAAACGATGTCTTAGCATAAATTTGTTGTCAGTCGTGAAAGGCATAAAGACTTCGGCATGGCCGAATATGGCTCTTCTCTCTTGTTTCTCACTATTTTCAACATTGGATTATGAAATTGTTAATGTGTCGCTTATGGTTAATTTAATGCAAAATTATTATTATTATTTTATAGTCTTCGTAACATCTTTCTAATAAAACCGAAATGAGGAAACAAAAGCCCAAAAAGCCCACAAAATATAATAAACAAAACAACAACACAACCGATATCACAACATAACAGTTCTAATTTGCATATTGCCATTCATTTCATTCATTTTTCATTTTTCACTTTTCATTTCTTTCTTCGATTGGCTTCATCTGCGTAGAGGCGTCGTTCCCGCTGCAAATGCTCATGAACTTAGCTTAGTTGGCTTATTAGCCATGTTTACAGCCATTAAATATGTCCCATATTTGTATGTAAATGTGTTCGAGAAATCAAACGCAGTTAACAACAAAAACAAAGACGCAGCTGAATTGTGCTCGTTCTCTCTATCTCTCGCTTTGACTTGCACTGATGTTGCTAAACATTTGAAAGTTGAGAAGATGTTGCTAGGCACATATTATAGGGTGGACCTTCTGACGTTTGGCTCTTGAATTACGAGCTTTGTCATAATCAATGATGATAAGCACTCGCGGCAGCCATGTGACTGGAGTGGGGTTCCATCAATACTAGGAGACAATAAAGGTAAAATTGTTGAAAAAAATGTATCCATACTCGGAGAGCTTGGCATTCCTTGCCGAGAGATCACCGCAATTAGGAAAATTAATTTTCTATTAATTTGACAATTGGACTAATTTGGACTCAAGATCTACGCCTAAGAAAGGCAGTACGCATTGCTAATTACTCGGATATTTTTATCTGTTGAACCTCAATAGAAAAAATTGTCTATTATCTAACCAATTGGCCTATAAACACTACTCGTAAAGGTATGTGGACCGAGAACAGCGGCTTAAGATTTTTTTTTTTTGAAGTCATTATTACCTAACGTAGTTTTTTCACTCTCTGGGATACCATTAGATATTTGACATTTCTTACAAAAATTTTTAATATCATATTAAATATGATCGACTTGTTCTTCCACAAAATATTTTCCACAGCTAGTTGGAATCCAGAAAAGAAGTCCGCTTCGATAAAAAACAGAGAGGTCTCAAATGAATTATTTGGTTCTAATGATAGTCTCAGCAAACGTTTTTAATTCGGAGAGTGCCAATGCTCAGCCTATAGTTCCATGTGAGTTTACGCAAATTTGTTGGATTCGTGGATGGCGGGAGACAGAGAGTACTGGTATTCACTGCTGTGAATGAATGTCTAACCACAATCCGCATGGACGGTTTGCGTTCACGAACTGCCATAAGAGAAGGACGCTTTCTGTGAAATACTAGAAAGCGCCTATGAACGCTGCCCCCTCCGCGATGTCAAAAACATATTCGACGGTTTTTTTTTTTTGCCATGGTTGGTACAGAAACAATTGGCTTTCAACAAGGTCAGATAAATTACTTAAACTATTTATCGTACATAAAAGTATTATGAATAGAAAGATTCCACAAGCGTAGCAAGAAAAGTTCTCTGGAGTGCGAAAACAGTTCTTGCCTTCCTGAGGTCCTATCAAACTCATAGAGTGTTCTAACAATAGAATGGTAATTATGATGATGATGATTTAATTTCTTCCAAATAAAAGCGATAGAGCGCAAAGTTATATGAGAAACATTAAATCTGATTTGCTCAAGCAGTTGTGAGGAGACCATTTAGCCATTGGGTGCGTTCAGTGGACTGAGCGCTCAGTTAACATGTTGAGTGAGCGCTTTAATTGAGCGATTCATTTTGATGAACGTACTGCTACTTCCAGTATTTTTATCTCATACGTGGTAACGTTGGCACTATTATGTTTACTTGAAATGTTGTTCTATTCTGAAATGCTCCGCATACTGGTCATCCACATACAGTGGCAGAGTTTCTTCATAAAAATGTTTGCTTCCTCCCATTGAATTCTTGAATTCCGAATTATGAGATCGGAGAAATGAATCGGAGCGAGAGCAAACTGAATAAACCTACATTGGGCTGTTTTAAGTCCGGAGGAATGTGTGGAATAAATTGGATTCCAAATTTAGCTAGCATACTCCTGCTTTGAGCGAACCAAGAGATTACAGACTTTTACGAGTTCAGGGATCTTTTAGGTCACCATCCCATCGGTGTATTAAAGGAAGCCTCGACTGAGCTTCAGGGATAATATAGTTGATGTAAGTAGTGAAGGTAAATCCCACATCAGACAATACACCAAGATCCAAAAATTCGTTAGCAGAAAATACCAAATATGCACCGCGCTTAACTCGGTAATTTTTTTCCATATTGAAACAGAAATCTTTGTCTCTATTGGCAAAAAAAATATGGGGAAACCGTTTTCCACTTCCACTTCGTTGCTTTAGAGACGGTAAGGTGGACGCATAAGAACCTCTCAGGAGCTTGGATATTCACTATCGATATGTGTGATCTTGCGTTGTAGCTGACGAAACATAATTCTTCTCCTGTTGGGTCCAATTGCAGACCCTATAGATCTGAATAAAGGTTTCGGTCGTAAAGGAGCAGCTCATATGGAATGTTTCTTGGCAATTAATCTTACCAAACATGCAACAAAACCTTAGAAATCATTTCTGCCTCACTGCACTTCGGCCATGAACATTTTCATTTGCTGTTGCTGTTGCTGTAAGTCATCCACTTTTCTTCACTAGTCACCATCCACTTAAAAAATGGGTCGACCTCCTACTCCGATTTGTGGTTTTTGCATTTTTATGTTTTCGCAGCAAAATAGAGGGACCTACAGTTTATACCAAGCCGCATCCGAGCAGCTGATGGTTTATTTATGAGGAGGTTTATTTCATGTCACACTCGGAGGGGTTGGCGTACCATGCCGATTTGCAGATGGAAGTTCGGTTCAGGAGGTTCTTCTCGATAACTCAAGCGGAACCCATTCATC